CTTTTTTTGGGGGGGGGGGGGGGGGTCTGGTCGTGGGGCCTGAACTCTGGGCCTGGGCGCTGTCCCTCAGCTCTTCAGCTCAAGGCTAGCGCTCTATCACTTGAGCCACAGCGTCACTTCCGGCTTTTTTCTTTTTGCTTATGTGGTGCTGAGGAATCAAACCCAGGGCCTCATGCATACAAGGCAAGCGCTCTACCACTGAGCACCTTCCCAGCCCCAAAGGCTGTCACTTTTTAAAGTTAACCAAATAAATATAAAATATCAGGATCCATTCTAAGCTATTAGTGTAAGTATGGTTTTGTGAACCCTGTTATCCAGCTACACACACAGTGTTTCTGCAAGCAGCGAAGTATTTTTTTGTTGTTTCCTGATGGCAATTTGTAAGCTGTTCTGGCGAGAGATATGTTCTTCTGTCAGCAGATACTTAGCGAGCACCCCTCTCATGCACTTTGTCAGCAGCTGCTCATGCGGCGCTAACTGATGAGGACGATCCGGGAGCCCGTGGCGGCAGGCCTTGTGCTCTCCAGGATTTGCCTGTCAGGATAGGTGACAGGGAATCCTTGCCAGAGAAGATTTGTCCCGTGAAGTTATGGTCACTTGTCATGCTGTTTAATCAATGTCAGAAGTACTTTTTGCTAAGTTAATTGAAAAATTTGTTTTTCAGGTTTCCTTGTTGCAGAATGAAAGTGTAGAAAAAAACAAGAGCATACAAAGTTTGCACAATCAAATATGTAGCTTTGAAATTGAAATCGAGAGACAAAAGGAAATGTTGCGAAATAATGAATCCAAAATACTTCATTTACAGGTAAGCAGCTAAGACTAGAAGGGTCAAAGGGCAGTGGAGCTGTGTCTCCCTCAGATCTCCCTCAGCACTCTGTAAGCTGAGAACTGGCTTGGACAGGCCCAGAGGCCAGGCCCAGTGTTCCTTTGCTCTCTCGATTACGGGAAGATTTGGGGACAATCTGAGTGAGCAAGGGGCCGGCCGGGAAAGCAGCCCCTCCCCACCCTTCCGTACTTCTTACCTACTGTGGCGAAGTGCGGCTTCAAATTTGTGTTTTAGGGCTGGGAAGGTGGCTCAGTGGTAGCGCGCTTGCCTTGCATACCTGAGGCCCTGTGTTCGATTCCTCAGCACCACATAAGCAAAAAGAAAAAAGCCAGAAGTGGTATTGTGGCTCAAGTGGTAGAGCACTAGCCTTGAGCTGAAGAGCTGAAGGACAGCGCCCAGGCTCAGAGTTCAGGCCCCATTACTGGACCCAAAAAAAAAAAAACTTGTGTTTTAAATTTTGTTTTGGCCAGGCATTGGTGGCTCATGCCTGTAATCCTAGCTACTCAGAAGGCTGAGATCTGAGGGCTATGGTTCAAAGCCAGCCCAGGCAGGAAAATCTGTGAGATTTTCTGATTAGCCACAGAAAACCAGAAATGGCATTTGGCTTAAAGTGGTAGAGTGCATGCCTTTAGCTGAAGAGCTCAGGGATAGAGCCCTGGCCCAGGCCCTGAGTTCAAGCCCCACCACTGACAAGAAAAGTGTTTTTCCTTCGGCCGGGGTGTACATGCCTGCATGTGCAAAGACCCATGTTCCATCCCCACTACTGAAAAAAAAAACTTTTATTACTACTTAAGATAGATATGTTGTTCATGAATCTTTGCACGCAAAGCTTGACTTCCCAATGTGAAATGAAGCATTCTGAGTGTCACACACACTTACCCAGCTTTACTTCACCGTGGTAATTCAGAGGCATCCCCAAATAACATATAAACCTTTGCCATTCTGAACTACGGTGATTTTAAAGATGGGCCTTATGAAGATTTTGTTGGCATCACTGTTGCCCTTAGACCTGCACTGGACCTGCTCTGTGTGTGGGGGCTGAAGAAATTCCAGGGGTCACCCCCATTGTGTCACTAAGGGGGGTTCAGTGCCTACACTTAGCAGTGCATTTCCCTAAATTGTGCTCTACCACTTTGAGCCACAGCACCACTTCCAGTTTTTCTGGTGATTAATTGCAGATAAGAGTCTGAGGGGGGCTGGGAAGGTGGCTCAGTGGTAGAGCGGTTGCCTTGCATACATGAGGCCCTGGGTTTGATTCCTCAGCACCACATAAACAGAAAAAGCTGGAAGTGGCGCTGTGGTTCAAGTGGAAGAACACTAGCCTTGAGCTGAAGAGCTGAGGGACAGCACCCAGGCCCAGAGTTCAGGCCCACGACCAGCAAAAAAAAAAAAAAAAAGTCTGAGGGATTTTCCTACCCAACCTGGCTTTGAACCATGATCCTCAGATCTCGGCCTCATCAGTAGCTGGAATTACAGGTGTGAGCCACCAGCACCCAGCTCTAAGTATTTCTAATGATGTGGGTGTAGCATCATTGAGAATGCTTTTCCTCCCATCTTCTTTTTTTTATTATTGTGAAAATACCGTACAGAGGGGTTACAATTACATGGACAAGATAATGAGTACATTTTTTATCAAGCATTGTAGCCTCCTCCTTTGTTTCCCCTTCCCATCCCTTCCATCTCCCACCCCCTTCCACCCATTGCCCCCCCCATCCTCCCATTTTCATACTGGAGATTAGTCATAGTCTTCAGAATTATGTAGGGATTTTTCCCCCCAGACTTGGGGTCTGGGGGTCTATTCATTAGAATAGAAAATTAACTGTTGGAAAATCACCTATAAAAATGTCCACAAATTGGTAGCTCACATCTGTAATCCTAGTTACAAAGAAAGCTGAGATCCAGATCATACTTTGAGTCCACATGATTCTATCTCCCAAGTTAGCTAGCAAAAGGCAAAGCTGGGCTAGAAGTGTGGCTTGAAAGCTAGAATGCTAGCTAAGCCAGAGTGAGGCCCTGAGTTCAGACTCCCCGGTACTAGCAAAACATAGTCCACCACAGAGTACATATGTAGTAGACTGGTCATGTGTAACATCACCATTTATGTCAAAATTAGGAAAATGATGTAGAGAAGCCCTTGTCCAAAACTTGAGATTTCCCATGGTTTGGTTTTTTTTTTTTTTTGGTTGGTTGTGGGGCCTGAACTCTGTGTCTGGGGGCTGTCCCTCAGCTCTTCAGCTCAAGGCGAGCGCTCTACCACTTGAGCCACAGCATCACTTCCGGCTTTTTTTGCTTATGTGGTGCTGAGGAATCGAACCCAGGGCCTCGAGCATGCAAGGCAAGCGCTCTACCACTGAGCCACCTTCCCAGCCCAGGATTAGTTTCTTGAGCTCCCTGTATATATTGGACATTAGGCCTTTGTCTGATGTATTGTTGATAAAGATCTTTTCCCAATTGGTTGGCTGTCCTTGTGTAGTAGCTATGTCTTTAGCTGTGCAGAAACTTTTTATTTTAAGGTAGTCCCATTTGTGGAGTCTCTCTCCAATCTGTTGTGCTTCTGCCTGTGCCTATAAGTTCCAGCGTCTCTCCTACTCTGTCTGGCAATACTTTCAGAGGTTCCAGTCTGATGTTGAGGTCTTTAATCCATTTTGAGTTGATGTTAGTGCATAGTGACAGGCAGGGACCACTTTCAGTTTTCTGCATGTGGCCACCCAGTTTTCCCAGCACCAACAGCTGAAGTGACTGTGTTTTTTCCACTGTATATCTTTGGCTCCTTTGTTGAATATCAGCTGAGTGTAAGTATGTGGTTTTATTTCTGGATCTTCTAATCTGTTCCATTGATCTTTGGGTCTGTTTTTGTGCCAGTACCAAGCTGTCTTTGTTATTATGGATCTGTAGTAGAGCTTGAAATCTGGTACTGTGATACTGCCTGTATTGCTTCTTTAGCCTAGAATTGCTTTAGCTATTCTAGGTCTTTTGTTGTTCCATATGAATTTCTGAATTGCTTTCTCTGTTTCAGTAAAGAACATCATTGTGATTTTTTTCTTTTTTTTTGGTCCGGTCATGGGGCCTGAACTCTGGGCCTGGGCGCTGTCCTTCAGCTCTTCAGCTCAAGGCTAGCGCTATACCACTGGAGCCACAGTGCCACTTCCGGCTTTTTCTGTTTATGTGGTGCTGAGGAATCGAACCCAGGGCCTCATGCTTGCAAGGCATGCACTCTACTGCTGAGCTACCTTCCCAGCCCCATCATTGTGATATTTGATGAGGATTGCATCAAATTTGTGTATCATTTTGGCATTATGGCCATTTTCACTATATTGATTCTACCTATCCAAGAAGGTATTTCCATTTCCTGGTATCCTCTATGATTTCTTTCTTTAGGCTTTTATAGTTTTTACCAAATAGGTCCTTACATCTTTGGTTAGGTTAATTCCTAGATTTTTTTTGAAGCTATTGCAAATGGGGTTGTTTTCCTGATTTCCTTTTCTGTTTGTATATTGTGGATATACAGAAAGGCTACTGATTTTCGTGGGTTAATTTTATATTTTGCTACTTTGTCAAAGTGATCTATTAGTTCTAGGAGTTTAGGAATAGAGTTTTTTGGATCCTTCAGGTATAAGATCATGTCATCTGGGCTGGGAAGGTGGCTCAGTTGTAGAGTGCTTGCCTTGCATGCATGAGGCCCTGGGTTCGATTCCTCAGTACCACATAAGCAGAAAAAGGCCGAAAGTAGCACTGTGGCTCAAGTGGTAGAGCGCTAGCCTTGAGCTGAAAAGCTGAGGGACAGCGCCCAGGCCCAGAGTTCAAGCCCCACAACCAGCAAAAAAAAAACAAAACAAAAATCATGTCATCTGCAAATAGGAATAGTCTGATTTCTTCTTTCCCTATGTGAATCCTTTTAATGTCCTTTTTTTGCCTTATTGCTCTGGCTAAGGATTCTAGAACTAAATTGAAGAAGACTAGAGAGAATGGATATCCTTGCCTTGGTCCTGATTTGGGGGGAAATGGTTTTAGTTTTTTCCCCATTTAGTATGAGGTTGGCTGTTGGTCTGTCGTATTTGGCCTTTAAAAAAATTTATTATGAGGCTGGGAAGGTGGCTCAGTGGTAGAGTGCTTACCTCACATGCATGAGGCCCTGGGTTCGATTCCTCAGCACCACATAAGCAGAAAAATCTGAAGGTGGTACTGTGGCTCAAGTGGTAGAATGCTAACCTTGAGCTAAAGAGCTGAGGGACAGAATTCAGGCCCCACGACCAACAAAAAAAATTATTATTATTATTATTTTGTCTGTTGTTGGGCTTGAACTCTGGGCCTGGGTGCTGTCCCTCAGCTCTTCAGCTCAAGGAGAGCACTCTACTGCTTGAACCACAGCACCACTTCTGGTTTTCTGGTGGTTAATTGGAGATAAGAGTCTCTCAGACTTTCCCGCTTGGGCTGGCTTTGAATGGCTATCCTCAGATCTCATCCTCCCGAATAGCTAGGATTACAGGAATGAGTCACTGGCACCCAGCTTGGCCTTTATTGTTTTAAGGAATGTTCCTTCTATTCCAAGTTTCTCTGACGCTTTAAGTATGAATTGATGTTGTATTTTGTTGAAGGCTTTTTCTGCATCTATTGAGATGATCCTGTGGTTCTTGTCCTTAGCTGTGTTGATGTGGTGAATTATATTTATTGATTTGCATATGTTAATCCAGCCTTGCATCTGTGTTATGAAGCCTACTTGGTCATAATGTGACTTTTTTTTCTAATTTGTTTCTGGATTCTGTTGGCTAATATTTTATTGAAAAGCTTTGTATCTGTGTTCATCAGAAAAATTGGTCTGTAGTTCTTTTTTATTGGATCCTTACCTGGTTTTGGATGAGTGTGATATTGTCTTCATAGAATGAGTTTAGGATTTCTACCTCTTGTTCTATTTCACCAAAAAGCTTGAGGAGTATTGGTGCTAGCTCATATTTAAAAGTCTTGCAGAATTCCACAGTGAC